CCCCCCAGACCCCACCCCAAACCCCTCCAAACCCTACCAAAACCCCCCAAACCTCACTGAACCCACCCCAAACCCTACCAAGACCCCCCCAGACCCCACTGCACCCACCCAGCGGGGGTGCCCCACTCACCGGCCCGGTTGATCTCCACCACCTCCTCCTGGGCCAGGGGACAGGCCGGGGGTCTCCGCGCGGCGCGGGGGCTGCCGGGGGCGTTGGGGCCGGACCCCGGCGAGCCGTAGCCGGGCGAGCCGGGCTGGGGAGGCCTGGGGATGTGTTTGTTCTTCTTCTTGGGCAGCTTCTGCTTGGCCATGGCCAGCGAGTAGTACATGCCGAAGTTGTTGACGATGACGGGCACGGGCATGGCGATGGTCAGCACGCCGGCCAGGGCGCACAGCGCGCCCACCAACATCCCCGACCACGTCATGGGGTACATGTCGCCGTAACCCAGCGTCGTCATGGTCACCACCGCCCACCAGAAGCCGATGGGGATGTTCTTGAAGTAGGTGTGGCGGCTGCCGGTGACGTCGTCGGGGTCGGCGCCGATGCGCTCGGCGTAGTAGATCATGGTGGCGAAGATGAGCACGCCCAGGGCGAGGAAGATGACGAGCAGCAGGAACTCGTTGGTGCTGGCGCGCAGCGTGTGGCCCAGCACGCGCAGCCCCACGAAGTGCCGCGTCAGCTTGAAGATGCGCAGGATGCGGACGAAGCGCACCACGCGCAGGAAGCCCAGCACGTCCTTGGCCGCCTTGGAGGACAATCCCCGCAGCCCCACCTCCAGGTAGAAGGGCAGGATGGCCACGAAGTCGATGATGTTGAGGCTGCTCTTGATGAAGTCGCGCTTGTCCGGGCAGAAGCTGACGCGCATGAGGAACTCGAAGGTGAACCACACCACGCACAGCCCCTCCACGTAGGTGAGGAAGGGCTCGGTCTCCACCTCCACGGCCACCTGCGTGCCCGTCTCGTTGCCCGTGGTCACCGTCTCCGTCTTGTTGATGACGCGGTTGAAGGCCTCGTGTGTCTCCAGGCAGAAGGTGGTGATGGAGATGAGGATGAAGAAGAGCGAGGCGAAGGCCACGTACTGCGGTGGGGGGGTGGGGAGATGGGTCGGGGGGGGGCGATGAGACCCCAAAAAAACCTCCCCCACATGGAGTGAGCCCCGCCACGGGGAAGCGCTGAGGGAATGGGGGTGAGACCCCCCCCCAAAATTCATGGATAACACCCCCCACCCAAAGCACTGAACCCCCAGAGGGATGGGGGGGTCCGGGGTTCTGAATTCTGACCCCCCCAAATCACTGAGACCCCATCAATTCATTGGGGGGGGTCCAGGGGTCTGAATTCTGACCCCCCAAATCACTGACACCCCCATAAATTCATTGGGGGGGGTCCAGGGGTCTGAATTCTGACCCCCCAAATCACTGACACCCCATCAATTCATTGGGGGGGGTCAGGGGTCTGAATTCTGACCCCCCCAAATCACTGACACCCTATCAATTCATTGGGGGGGGGCAGGATCTGATTCTGACACCCCCAAATCACTGAGACCCCCATAAATTCATTGGGGGGGTCAGGGGTCTGAATTCTGACCCCCTCCCAAATACAGATGGGGGTTCAAGCTCCTGACACCCCGCCCCCCCCCAACAAAACAACTGACCCCCTGTGGAATAATGGGGGGGGCACACCCAGATGTCCTGACCCCCCCCCCACAAACGCTGAACCCCCAAATAACCACGGGGGGAGGGGGGGGACACACCCCGGTGTCCCCTGGTTCTTGACCCCCCCCCAAAAATCACTGACACCCCCAAATCGGGAGGGAGGGGGGCGCAGTTTGAGGGGGGGTTGGGGATGGAACCCAGGGGACAGCGGGGGGGGTTTGGGGACACC